AGTAAGAGAAGTCTCGGCTTATATCCCCAGCTGAGCAGGGCTCCTGGCATGCACCTCAGGAAGCTTCAGACCAAACTGCTAACAGCTGTTTAAGAAGGAAACAGTCAGCCAAACCCGCTGAAAGGACAGGCAAGTCTTCAGCTCAGGCAAAGCTGCACGTCAGGCTGACATGGGTTTGGGGTCTATGTCTCCAGGAATCTTACTGCTCTGCCACAAGGCAGGGAGAACAAACAGCGTACAAGAGCTACAGCGAGGACCACGAGCCTCCAATATACCTCTACCCCGCACACCTTCCCCACAGATTTCTCCCCTCTCCAGCACCTCAACCCTCGGAGGGCAACCTGTATGAGTCTCACCTGCAGGCAACATCAATGTCGCAGTCCTTGTCTATGTAGCACGGACTCTTCCCCCCCAGTTCAAGTGTAACAGGGGTGAGGTGCTTGGCGGCAGCTTCCATGACAATTTTGCCCACCACGGGATTCCCGGTGTAGAAGATGTAATCGAACCTCTGCTTCAGCAGCTCGGTTGTCTCAGGAATGCCACCATTGACCACCTGGTACAGCTCCTTGCAAAGCAGAAAGGAACAGCTGCGAGTGTCAATGGGCTCATTTTGGTTTGCCACTGCTGCATGGCACACCGGCGCAGGAACGTCCTGCGGGAACCCCTTCCCTTGGCAGCTCAGCACGGGGAGGTGGCGATGCAACTGGCAGCCTGCTTTCCTGGACTCTCAGGAAAATGCACTGGCCCCAGAAAAGGAAGCATCTGCAGCTGGCAAAATCTGAGCCCCACCTAAAGGGTTTTTTTGTTTTTTGCAAGTAGGCAGTTTGCCTGTTAGCAGTTAATCCTTCCAGTTTGGACACTGATGAGGCTATTGCATTCAAACCTCCTGGCAAGGAGAGGGGCCTATACAGCCACAGCCTGCAGTTGGGCCTGAATTGGCACATGCAGCGTCTTGAACACAGAAATCACCGGCATCTGGCACAGGCACGTGCCATCTGCAGGATTTAAGCTGCTGCCTCCATCACGCTCCTGCACCTATGTTGTCTGTGAGCTGAAGTGCTGTGCTTGGAGCGAAAGGGTTCGCTCCTCCCTGTCCCGGCTAAATGAACCTGTATGCTGCCAGCAGGCTGGGCGAGGGAAGCTCAGCCCATCTTCACCCTTCGAGAGGAGTCACTCAGTTGCTAGCTGGCCCCAGCGAGAGCCCTCATGTCACTATAGGCATAAACCCTTGTGCTGCAGGGTCTAGCCTGGTAACACCCTACATGGGGATGTCATGCCCCGACTCTTCCCATGGGGGGTTTCTAGCACCTTCTGCTGACAAACCCAACTGCAGGTAAGAGGCTGAGCTGACTGGACCCAGGATCTAGGGCTGTTCCTATGCTCCTACCAAAGGAGAAGCCCGTAACTGCATGGAAGGGAAGTGTCCGAGGGTGGCAGATGGGCAAACCACAGCTGTCTGTTGACTGGGTCAGACAAAGCTAGACTGAACACGCGGCCAGGGACAGCTCCCTGCCCTCACCACTCACCTGCCAGTCCTGCAAGGCACCCGTGTCAGAGGAGTGCGGAAACCCGTCCAACGTGCCCTCCCCAAAGCCCCTCCCCCGCCGATTAAGAACCAGGCTGGGACGAGCCTGGAGCAGCCCTGTCCTCCACCACTGTGAGTGGAGTCAGGACTGCCAGGAGTATCGAGCTGCCTTGAACTGAAACCTCAGGTAAGCCTGTCCCCTAATGAATAAGGCTTGGCAGAACACACAGGCCCCACGGCTTTATTCTTTCAGCGAGAGCTGGGAAAGCCACCAGAAATGTGCCTGGGCAGCCAGGGCTCTCCACGCTGGTAACTAGGGCCGCAAGCAAAAACTACTTGATGTTGACTCCAACGCCCTGATCCCCAAAGCTATTGATTTTAGAAATTAAAGCTATCCTGCTGCTGCAGGTGTTGAGGGAGCTAGCAGGGGTTATTGCAGGGCCCCTGGCACAGCTTTACGAGCGCTCGTGGTGCTCGGGCCAGGTGCCAGATGATTGGAAGATAGCCAACGTGGTCCCCATCTTTAAAAAAGGGAGGAGGGAGGACCCGGGCAACTATAGGCCCGTCAGTCTTACCTCAATCCTAGGGAAACTCTTTGAGAAGATCCTCAAGGAGCACATTTGTGATGGGCCGGCTTCAGGGATGATGCTCAAGG